TGACGGCGTGTGGCTTAAAACGGAATTGAATTTGGCCTGTTCCAGCACTGCAAAAATGTAAAAGTTTTTAATACGATAACCGATTTTTCCTTTGTGATATCGAAAGAAATTTCAAAACTAGTAGATTCTTGCAGGTACTGGAACAAAGCAATTATTTATCATACTGTCACTTATGTGTGTCAATGCAGGGCTGGATTCTTGTTTTATGAAAATATGAAATGAAAAATATTTCCTTTATAAAATTTTTCATTTGACATTTCTTTCCTTTATAAAAGTTTTCATTTCACATTTTTATAGAACAATAATGGATGTCCAGGGTAAGGTTAAAGGTGAGAGTACATATAAGGCTTTTTTGACTGCCTTTAGTCATCGGCTGGCTTCTTCAACGACTTTAGCCAGTCAAAAAAGCCTTTCCAAGCGCATAAAAAAACCTTTTCCAAGCGCATAACAAAATACATATGCATCTATTTTGTTTGTGCTTTTGGGCTCGACTTATTATTTATTACACATGATGACAGATGTGAAAATAGATTTCGATCGCAAGAAATTAAAAATATATTTTCTGTGTCTGACGAGAATAAGCGAAACTCGACGGCAAGGGCCTCGATATGACGGCGTTAGACATAATTTAAAAATATGAAGAGAGTGATATCACATTTTTGACGGCGTGTGGCTTAAAACGGAATTGAATTTGGCCTGTTCCAGCACTGCAAGAATGTAAAAGTTTTTAATACGATAACCGATTTTTCCTTTGTGATATCGAAAGAAATTTCAAAACTAGTAGATTCTTGCAGGTACTGGAACAAAGCAATTATTTGTCATACTGTCACTTATGTGTGTCAATGCAGGGCTGGATTCTTGTTTTATGAAAATATGAAATGAAAAATATTTCCTTTATAAAATTTTTCATTTGACATTTCTTTCCTTTATAAAAGTTTTCATTTCACATTTTTATAGAACAAGAATGGATGTCCAGGGTAAGGTTAAAGGTGAGAGTACATATAAGGCTTTTTTGACTGCCTTTAGTCATCGGCTGGCTTCTTCGACGACTTTAGCCAGTCAAAAAAGCCTTTCCAAGCGCATAAAAAAATCTTTTCCAAGCGCATAACAAAATACATATGCATCTATTTTGTTTGTGCTTTTGGGCTCGACTTATTATTTATTACACATGATGACAGATGTGAAAATAGATTTCGATCGCAAGAAATTAAAAATATATTTTCTGTGTCTGACGAGAATAAGCGAAACTAGACGGCAAGGGCCTCGATATGACGGCGTTAGACATAATTTAAAAATATGAAGAGAGTGATATCACATTTTTGACGGCGTGTGGCTTAAAACGGAATAGAATTTGGCCTGTTCCAGCACTGCAAGAATGTAAAAGTTTTTAATACGATAACCGATTTTTCCTTTGTGGTATCGAAAGAAATTTCAAAACTAGTAGATTCTTGCAGGTACTGGAACAAAGCAATTATTTGTCATACTGTCACTTATGTGTGTCAATGCAGGGCTGGATTCTTGTTTTATGAAAATATGAAATGAAAAATGTTTCCTTTATAAAATTTTTCATTTGACATTTCTTTCCTTTATAAAAGTTTTCATTTCACATTTTTATAGAACAAGAATGGATTTCCAGGGTAAGGTTAAAGGTGAGAGTACATATAAGGCTTTTTTGACTGCCTTTAGTCATCGGCTGGCTTCTTCGACGACTTTAGCCAGTCAAAAAAGCCTTTCCAAGCGCATAAAAAAAACTTTTCCAAGCGCATAACAAAATACATATGCATCTATTTTGTTTGTGCTTTTGGGCTCGACTTATTATTTATTACACATGATGACAGATGTGAAAATAGATTTCGATCGCAAGAAATTAAAAATATATTTTCTGTGTCTGACGAGAATAAGCGAAACTAGACGGCAAGGGCCTCGATATGACGGCGTTAGACATAATTTAAAAATATGAAGAGAGTGATATCACATTTTTGACGGCGTGTGGCTTAAAACGGAATTGAATTTGGCCTGTTCCAGCACTGCAAGAATGTAAAAGTTTTTAATACGATAACCGAATTTTCCTTTGTGATATCGAAAGAAATTTCAAAACTAGTAGATTCTTGCAGGTACTGGAACAAAGCAATTATTTGTCATACTGTCACTTATGTGTGTCAATGCAGGGCTGGATTCTTGTTTTATGAAAATATGAAATGAAAAATATTTCCTTTATAAAATTTTTCATTTGACATTTCTTTCCTTTATAAAAGTTTTCATTTCACATTTTTATAGAACAAGAATGGATGTCCAGGGTAAGGTTAAAGGTGAGAGTACATATAAGGCTTTTTTGACTGCCTTTAGTCATCGGCTGGCTTCTTCGACGACTTTAGCCAGTCAAAAAAGCCTTTCCAAGCGCATAAAAAAATCTTTTCCAAGCGCATAACAAAATACATATGCATCTATTTTGTTTGTGCTTTTGGGCTCGACTTATTATTTATTACACATGATGACAGATGTGAAAATAGATTTCGATCGCAAGAAATTAAAAATATATTTTCTGTGTCTGACGAGAATAAGCGAAACTAGACGGCAAGGGCCTCGATATGACGGCGTTAGACATAATTTAAAAATATGAAGAGAGTGATATCACATTTTTGACGGCGTGTGGCTTAAAACGGAATTGAATTTGGCCTGTTCCAGCACTGCAAGAATGTAAAAGTTTTTAATACGATAACCGATTTTTCCTTTGTGATATCGAAAGAAATTTCAAAACTAGTAGATTCTTGCAGGTACTGGAACAAAGCAATTATTTGTCATACTGTCACTTATGTGTGTCAATGCAGGGCTGGATTCTTGTTTTATGAAAATATGAAATGAAAAATATTTCCTTTATAAAATTTTTCATTTGACATTTCTTTCCTTTATAAAAGTTTTCATTTCACATTTTTATAGAACAAGAATGGATGTCCAGGGTAAGGTTAAAGGTGAGAGTACATATAAGGCTTTTTTGACTGCCTTTAGTCATCGGCTGGCTTCTTCGACGACTTTAGCCAGTCAAAAAAGCCTTTCCAAGCGCATAAAAAAACCTTTTCCAAGCGCATAACAAAATACATATGCATCTATTTTGTTTGTGCTTTTGGGCTCGACTTATTATTTATTACACATGATGACAGATGTGAAAATAGATTTCGATCGCAAGAAATTAAAAATATATTTTCTGTGTCTGACGAGAATAAGCGAAACTAGACGGCAAGGGCCTCGATATGACGGCGTTAGACATAATTTAAAAATATGAAGAGAGTGATATCACATTTTTGACGGCGTGTGGCTTAAAACGGAATTGAATTTGGCCTGTTCCAGCACTGCAAGAATGTAAAAGTTTTTAATACGATAACCGATTTTTCCTTTGTGATATCGAAAGAAATTTCAAAACTAGTAGATTCTTGCAGGTACTGGAACAAAGCAATTATTTGTCATACTGTCACTTATGTGTGTCAATGCAGGGCTGGATTCTTGTTTTATGAAAATATGAAATGAAAAATATTTCCTTTATAAAATTTTTCATTTGACATTTCTTTCCTTTATAAAAGTTTTCATTTCACATTTTTATAGAACAAGAATGGATTTCCAGGGTAAGGTTAAAGGTGAGAGTACATATAAGGCTTTTTTGACTGCCTTTAGTCATCGGGTGGCTTCTTCGACGACTTTAGCCAGTCAAAAAAGCCTTTCCAAGCGCATAAAAAAATCTTTTCCAAGCGCATAACAAAATACATATGCATCTATTTTGTTTGTGCTTTTGGGCTCGACTTATTATTTATTACACATGATGACAGATGTGAAAATAGATTTCGATCGCAAGAAATTAAAAATATATTTTCTGTGTCTGACGAGAATAAGCGAAACTAGACGGCAAGGGCCTCGATATGACGGCGTTAGACATAATTTAAAAATATGAAGAGAGTGATATCACATTTTTGACGGCGTGTGGCTTAAAACGGAATTGAATTTGGCCTGTTCCAGCACTGCAAGAATGTAAAAGTTTTTAATACGATAACCGATTTTTCCTTTGTGATATCGAAAGAAATTTCAAAACTAGTAGATTCTTGCAGGTACTGGAACAAAGCAATTATTTGTCATACTGTCACTTATGTGTGTCAATGCAGGGCTGGATTCTTGTTTTATGAAAATATGAAATGAAAAATATTTCCTTTATAAAATTTTTCATTTGACATTTCTTTCCTTTATAAAAGTTTTCATTTCACATTTTTATAGAACAAGAATGGATGTCCAGGGTAAGGTTAAAGGTGAGAGTACATATAAGGCTTTTTTGACTGCCTTTAGTCATCGGCTGGCTTCTTCGACGACTTTAGCCAGTCAAGCCACTTTAGCCAGTCATCAACACAGCTGCCGTGACAATGAACTGTCAAAACATTTTTAGAATTAAACATTTTGCTTGAAATATCATACCAACCTGTTTTAAAAGCATTTATTTTTGTATATATTTTAATTATTTTTTACATATCAATTGGTCTGTTCCAGAACTGCATGAATGTGAATGTTTTTACTACGATAACCGATTTTACCTTTATGATATCAAAGAAAATTGCAAAACTAGTAAATTCTTGCTTTTCTTTGTGGTATTATGTATTATGTTTTATAACAATTTTTTTTTTTATATGAATAATTTTTTACCGCAAATTTCAATTTATATATTTTCACACAACAAATAAAGAAGAATTGCACAGTGAAATCAAAAAAACAAAAGGAAACAATCCCACTCTGATTTTTCTGTAATTTACCTTGTCAAATTTGATTAAACATAAAAACTGGTTTTCATCTCTGATTAGTATTATACAATGGTTTTATGAATTGACATTTTGACAATGAGATGAAAATTTAGTGGAATTTCAAATAACCATATCGACTTCAGCATTTTCATCATTACACATTTTTATAGAACAACGAATTTATTCTCTGAGCTCATACGGCTACCTTTATAAATACAGTTTGTTTCTCAGGGAAACTTTTGACATTTGCCCACATATGCCCGGAAACAACAACAAACACACAGATGACAACAGAAAACAGCTGAGCAACGAGTAGTAGCAGTTGAAATTTTGTAAATTTTCCGGAAATTGTGTGAACGTGCATAAACAGTACCTTATTTATTTCTCTGAAGGATCTCTAAACAGCTGTTTATGTTTAGATGGGACCGATTTTCAAAACCCTGCAAGGGATTCATGTTTTCGATCCGGTGAACTCTGTGAACTCCAGCTCATGTCTGGCTTTCGACCTGCTAAGCCCTGAATGCCTTCTTTTTCGATCTGTTGGCCCCTTTAAAATTAATGTTTCTTATGATAAGAGAGTGAAGCGGTCGTGTATTTGTCGTTAATTAATAATTAAATTGGGCAAAAATAGTGAGAAAAAGAAGTTAAACCGTAGAATTCTTCGGTTTGGTGAGTCCTTGCAGTTGGAAGTCTTTGATTCCCGAGTTGTAGCTGTATTTTTAATTGCCTGTTGCAAAAGTTTCGCGGCACTGTAAATAATGTTTAAGCGTGCATTCAAAGTTGTACTACGGCCAGTTGTAAAAAACAATTTTGTTCTGTTACCCGAGAGCTATTATAAAGTGGTGTCCACATATGTAAGTAGCACTCGCAAGTACAAGATTAAAGGTGACAACTGATAAGATTATTAAGATTATTCGATAAGATTAATAATATGAAACTCATTCTAATTTCGCAAGGACAATGGATGTCTTCAGTTGCAGTACGAAGCACGAACGCACTATGTATCTTGGGCCCCGGAAGGCAGCAGTAAAGACAACGAAATTGCTATAAACGCAAGAGTTGCCAAAGAGATTGGTGAGCACACTTTATACCAGCTAATAATAAATTTGGCACAAATCGCAAATCGCAATGTAGAAGCAGAGCAATATATTTTTATATCTTAATGTTTGCCTTGAAGAAACAGTGGTTATGTGCACGCATAAATATTCTGTAGGCAAGAATTAAATAATGTTTGCTTCTCAATGTTGACTCCTAAGGCCTGCATGGCATACATGTATTAACTTTACTATTAGGGTTAATTGTTAGGTCGCAATACACAGATCAAACGTTTTTAGAAACTGAGTCCGTGTGTCAATTATAAGAACATTTCACAACCCGCCGGATTAAAAGTCGTGTCGCATGAGTTCTGATTTACTTTATTTCATTTCATATATTTGTATAACAAAATATCTAGTCTTTCGACCACAAGTCTATATTCTACAATTTAATATTTGACATTAAAAATAGTTGAGAAGCAACTCTCCAAACAAAACCATTAAGGGATTGGACCTACTCCATTGACAAAAACTTCTTACAATTACTGCGTATCAATTAAGAAATTTCTGGAGAAAATATCATAAACTATTTTATGTTTTATGGCCCTATGGCGTGCGCAACATATAGAAAATGTTGATCTAATGAAATTTGTAAATACAAACATATAATATATGGTCCTTATTCTTGAATTATATTTGTTTTAGTTTTAGGTTTGCTTTAGATTTATGTATCTTCGGACATATGACTACAGATGGAAGTATGGACAATATCGGCCCACTCCTTCTATTACCACCTCCACAAAGCGTTACAATTTTCAATAATTCAATATTTCTACCAACGCTAAATCTTCAAATTTGATACCTCCTCCAAAAAAAGTGTCAACACTTTGTATAATAACATAACGACAATTTTGACGATTTCCTTCTAACTTAGTATAAATATCGGTCGACTCCTAATAATTACAACTCGCACCAAATGCAAAAAAGGTGAAGATGTCTTTTGACGTCGGACAATGCTATACATGCAACAACATTAGATTCTAGTAGGCTAAATGAAAATTTAATTAATTTAAATGTTTTATTCTATTGCTCCCAAATCATTCTTTTAAGTGTACCTATTTTGGTAGAAGGGAAATCCCCTTCAATTGTAAATCCAAATATACATGAACATCATTTACATTATATATTTAAGTTTTAGAAAATAATAAAAATACAATAATAATTACAAATGCGGCGATGCAAGTGCAAAAACTTGAAGTTATGCACCTATATACGTGATTTTTATGGTTTGAAACGCATCATAGTTCCGAATTAAGTGTAGATCCACTGACCTTATAGTTCATTTACAACACTGTCGATCGTTATTGACGAACACATGTCCTAATTCATAGGCCTTTAATTTCTTTTAGGACTCAATGAAAATGATTTTGTAAAATGCACTTTAGTCGTGGATGTTCCCATTTTGCGAAATGTCTTCCTTACACCCGTTTCGAAAAAGGATTGGGAAATAATAGTAAGCTGCCTCACGAGAGTTAGTGCTGGAAACGCAAATTTAATTACCTTTCTTATTTTATTTTTAGGAGCTGAGTAGTGAACACATCTCGGATAGTGTTTTGGAGCAGACACGCATTGTCAATTCCAATCAAATTTTAATAGTTTGGGTAAATAAATCCATACAAGTAGCATTGACGGTGGGTAAGTGCAAAATAAGTTCTCCTTCGGATCAAGTGTTCTCTTTTAAAAAGGCTTAACAGTACGAAAATTGAAACTAATCATAAATATGAACATCATTTTTATTGTGTCGTATAGATCGCTTGAAACCAAATCTCACTTATGGTAGAATTGACCATACAACACAATTGATTATATCGCCTGATGTTATCAGTAGTAACTCAAATGGAGCAACTGAAAATATTCTGCGCAGTAAAACTGCCTCTAATGTGCCCAATGGCGATCAACGGGGCGTTTTCGAACAGGGGCTGTCCAAATCGTCGACCAGTAAACAATTTAAAAATAATCAGAATATAGCCAAATCTAGTCGGCACGACAAAATGGAACGTTTGAAGAAAGACTTGTGCAGAGAAGCAAGTAAATTTGTGGAGTTCAGAGTTATATCTGGGTCATGGTCGGATGACACACAAATATCGGACGTTTTCGTCAATGATATTAACTGGCCGCCTAATATGGACCCAATGTTAATTTACTGTCTTCGTACCATGGAGGATCGTGAATACTACGTTCGCATAAACTTGATTACTGCCGGCGAATTTCTGACAACAATTCACCCCACCATAGAGATAACTGCAAATCTGATGAAACTATTAGAATTGAAGGAATTGGAAAAGGTGGTTCTCAAACCGAAGCCAATGGTTGTCAATTTTGTTGAGAAAATTGAATTGTTCGCCAACAAGAAAACGCATTATAAGGTAGTAGAAAACGCTTTTAAACGTTTTGTAAAAGAAAAAACAGAAGAAACGCCCCTTTTATTGAACCAAAATGAAGTTGTACGATTAGAGGACGACCTCGTTGTAACGGTTGGCATACTACCGGAACACTTTCATTACTGCGCGGTCGATTCACAATTTCTAAAGGAAAGCAAAATATACGCTGCTGATGTGGTGCGAAACGTCGATGACATACTTTGCGTTAAACCCCCTGTTGAGACTCCGATCTTTTCTAAAGATGTTATAAAGCTTCGTGATTTCGATTTAAAAGTTGAAGATCTGATAAGTGAGTTGAGAAGAAACCTTTGTTTAGATTCTACAAATTCTGTTTTGCGGCAGGCGAATATTCTTTTGACAGGTAAGGTAAGAGACATATCTCACTGACAGTATTAACATTTTAGTGGTGTTTTAGGTTCTTCGGGTGCTGGGAAGACTGTTCTGGTTGAGCGTATACTTAATGAGTTGGTTCGCAAACCATACTTCTGTCATTTTGAAATATTTAACTGTACACGTAGCAAAGGGCGAAAGGTATGTTTGCTAAACAAAAACAACGCCCCGACCAATAAATTCTTCTGTTTTCTTTTACAAACAGGCCGAGTCTGTGCAAAAAGATTTGCGGACAGTTTTTACTACATGTATTCAAAAAGCGCCTTCAATTGTGGTTTTGGAAAACCTAGATGTCCTGGCTCATGCATCAGGTGATCAGGCAACACAAGACAACGAATACTTCAATAGAATAGCCGATGTTGTCCATCAACTTGTCGTTCAATATACAACGTCTCATCCAATTGCTGTTATAGCCACTGCCAACGAAGTGCATTCTCTCAATAAACGCGTATACTCGCCACGAGGCCGACACCTTTTTCAAACAATTGTAAATCTGCCGGGATTAGAGAGGCAAGACCGGGAAGTGGTACTTAAGGAACTTTGTAGCCACATTGAAACTGACAAACTGGATTTTGAGCGGTACGCCCTTCTAACGGAGGGGTACAACAAAGGAGATTTAGTGCAATTTATTGAAAGAGCAATATTCTACGCATATCGTTTAAGTAATTATATTAAATTTATTTATTCATTCGAGTTATAAATGTGCAACAAAGCCTTTCTTTGAATTGTCCATTCATAATTTGTCGATATTTTGCAGGTAAAACCCGTCCGGTGCTCTCGAACGAACATTTGAAAAAGTCTTTGGAAAACACTAATTCCTATTGCCTAAGAGGAATAGAGAGTCATCAAACCACCGACCATACTTCTGATGTGGGTGATTCATGCGATGAAAATAATGTACACGGTTTAGAATCGGTAACCTCCGTTCTTGAAGAAGTTCTCATGTGGCCGTCAAGAGTAAGGAGTTAAGCTTGCCAATTGAAATACCAACATTAACTTGTTAAATATTTATAATAGTATCCAAAAATATTTAACGAATCGCCTCTGCGTAACCAAGCAGGTGTACTTCTCTACGGGCCGCCTGGTACTGGAAAGACGTTTTTAGTCTCAAAACTTGCTAAAAAGTGGAACCTTCGAACAATATCTGTTAAAGGACCGGAATTACTCGCAAAATATATTGGACAAAGTGAGGAGAACGTTCGCAACTTATTTAATAGGTAAGATTTTTCAAACATGAAGTAAGGCGATCACTAACAACATCACATTTACGAGTCCATATAAATATTATGCTAGTTGCATCCGTTTATGCCAATGTTTTTTTATCTGAGTTTTCAGTTGGAGAGTGGAGTAAGCTCGTTTTTGTCATTCCAAATGTGCAAGTTGTTTTTGTTCATGTCGTTTCAGAAATTGAGTAATATATGCACCCTTATTATGGTTGGCGTTGTCGTAGGCGTTTAAGTGTCGTAGACGTAGTCGTAGGCGTTGTCGTAACTAGAAATGTTTGGTATTATGTACAATTTTCGACTACGACTTTTTTGTAATAGATATGAAAATGCAGGGTGCTCTGGAATAATAAACATTTTTTAAATTTACGAGCTACCCGGTTAAAAAAAAAAATAAAAGCGTCAGTTTAAATGGTTGAATTAAAACGACGTTTAATTAAATATTGAAATATGTTAAGTCCTGGCAATTATTTAGCTGAGTATGAAGATGAGTATATTAACAATGATTTAAACGTGAGGCGAAAAATAATGCGGGTTATTTGTGCTTACAGAGGGAAGCGCACAGACATCCTGGATTACCACAACCTGCTTCTGTTGCATATTTCGTGGTAGTCTGTTTACGCTTGGAGGAGTCAGTGTGCAGGGCTTTCTTGTCTTCACTAATTTCAAACCCTTCAAATAGTTCCTCCTCAGTCTTCTGTTCACCAAGTGTTGGACGCTGTTGAATTCAAATTGCTTGGTTCCCTGCATTTACAATTGTCTATAATTGTAACATGCGTGATGCTGTTTCCTCCGTGTCGCTTAAAATGAACTGCTTGAAGGGCCCTCCACCTGTAGCACGACATTCTGCCTTATTATGAACTAGCGTCTTCCTCAATTTTATTCGGCCCAGACTTTCATACAAGCCTCGCCTGTTCGAACCGGCGGTCTTAGGATATTGAGTTTTGCACCAATTTTGTTCCATTCTTCCTTGATGTTAATTTTTTTCAAGCCATTGCTGTAAACTCTAGCCAAATTTTGATTCATTTGCAAGATCTGGATCATTTCGTCAAATTGTTCACAACGACTTAAAATCTAGAGAAAGCGAAATGCTAATAGATGTAACTTCATATATTCTTGTAATGTTGATATATGCTTCTTATTCAAATCCATTTTGTATATTATTCTGTTGTAATGTCAATTTGGAAAAACTTTTCTGTGTTGTCGGCAACAAAATCTCTAACGACTAATTTTGCAGTGTTTGTCGAATTAGAACGCGTCTTGTGGTACGAAAATTGTAACAGAATTTCATACAGAGTTGTAATTTCTCGCATACGACACACATAATACCAATTAGTCGTTACGACGCATCTACTTGCTATTTTCGATACGACTACGCCAGCCGTTTACAGCAATAAATTACATGGTGTATTTCGGTAACTTATGCCCCGTAAAATGGAGAATAATACCGATTAGAAAGATCTCATGTAACCCGTACTTAACACACTTGGGCAATTATTGAAAAGCCATCTATCTATTATAAACCACTATGAATGAAAATACTGATCTTCGAAGAGAAAATATGAATATCACCTGCCAATACAACCGTTTATAGTTTTAAAATCCTTTTAATTGTTCTGGTCATTCAGCTTCGGTAAACTATGCGGTCAAATCCCACATGTCCATCACTTGAGAAATCGATCCACACATATGACTTATCATTTTTTCTGCGTTTAATACGACCAAAAGGACATATCGGACGTTTACAAATCCGTTATCCTCTTAGTTCCCAAAATATGGAAGATCTCTTATATTGGGACTGTTCCATTATTTGGCAGATGGACATCTTTCAATAGACTTTATTTAATTTTAAGCTCATCACCAATATAAGTACGATAAGTATTTCGTATTGTTGCAAACCGAAATCGTCATACAGAAAATCCATGGTTGCTGCGTTTATTTCTATTACTATTTTCTAAAGATGTGTCCGAGGACGGCATTCATCCTGCAATTGCTGATAGCATCTGCGACTGCATCGGTATGAATGCCACTCAGACCTGCCTGATAGGCATTTTGATCTAGAGTCGGTTGTCGTGTCTATAGACGTCGACGTTATGTGCAAGTCGCCATCGCCGTCGCTCCGATTCAAAAATGGTATTACGGTGGGAAAAGAAGCGACATCGACAGTTAAAAAAGAAATGGCAACACTACCTTGTTGTTGACAAAAAAGATAAAAAATTGTTTGTATTTTAAATATTAATTTCTTCTCTTTCGGAAAACATAAAAAATATAGTGAAAATTAATGTAATAAATGCTATACACCTCTGAGGAGTTAACTGAACTAGTATACATTATGTTTCGTAGAGCCGTTGTACTGGATTATTTACTCATTTACCACTGATTCGGCTATAATATGTTCTCAGTATGAAAATTGACAGCGAGACAAAGGAAAGTAGAATACAATGAATTGCATTCATGTTTAGTTTATTTAATATTGGAGATTATAACGTCCTCTGGCTACAATGCCCAGTTATTTTTCAATCTTGGCTCAATTAAACATGGACATTGGCATTATGGGTGATACAGCAAATTAAATTGGGGAAGAAGCATAACATAACCAATAGATAAATAGTACGTTAACTATTATCATATTATGTATCTTTACAGGGCACGGAGTGCAAAGCCATGTCTTCTTTTCTTTGACGAATTCGATAGCTTAGCACCCAAACGTGGCCACGATTCTACCGGCGTAACGGACCGCGTAGTGAATCAGTTGCTGACCGAGCTTGATGGTGTCGAAGGATTACAAGGTGTTAGTGTGATTGCAGCAACATCTCGGCCCGAGTTGTTGGATCCGGCATTACTTCGTTCCGGTCGTATTGACCGATTGGTTGAATGTACACTTCCCGACTTTTCTGCCCGCGTAGCAATTTTCGAAGCGTTATCCACAACATTAGCCCTTGACGAGTCAGTGGATTTCTCTTACTTCGCCGAGAGATCGGAAAATTATACTGGTGCTGATATTCAGAGCGTCCTAACATCTGCCAATATGATTGCCGTAAAAGAAGCTCTTGAAAAGTTTGGACAAGAGGTATGTACCCTATAACATATTTTAAAACAAAAAACGTCAACCCCAGCAATTACATAATAAAATTTGCCTCAAGATATAATTCCATCTGCCACTGAACCACATTGTCGCTGCAAGCAAAATCATATGAGCCTCTAGGAAATATATATTTTTTTACTAAACAATGACTGAAGGCGGCGGCTCCATCTTCATTACAGTTTACCGAAAAAGAGACTATTTTTCTAGTTTTACTACGTTTTCGGCATTCTAGTCGCTTAAAACCAATGGTACCACAGAATGTGTTTCCCAAACTAATGTCTTATAAAATGTTGAAAACTGTGGCCTTTTTGTTTTAGATTAAAATTTCGCTTTATGCTACTATAACTCGACGAAGACCCTTATGCTTATTTTAGAAAATCTTTATCAGAATCAAATTTTTTACTCCATTTTATTCTTTATTAAATAAGCCACAGTATGAAACCAAAAACAAACAAGTAAGTAAAGGCTATAGTCGTGCGGGGCCAACCATGTGATACCCTACAACACTACAACATGTTGGAAGCCCCCTTATCTCCAAATCCATCTTGGAAGATTTCGTTTTTGAAATGATGTTATAGAACGCTGCCCAGATGTTGCCCTTATTTTTTTGACCGGGGCATCTGCCCCATATTTACGTACTTCGTAGTGTTATTAGGTATTCAAAACAATTTTTTTTATGTAGGTTGTGGTCCATTTCGCATCTAAATATAATCCAATGGTCATCCAAAATGCTAGACTTCTGCCCTGTCATTAACTTCTTTCTCAAGCAAAATTCCGTGCCGATTGGTTTTCAATTGTGATCTGTAGATCGACTGCAAAATCCGGAAATCCATTTGAACCATTAAATGTACATCTTCAATTTTGACCCTAACCCTAACGATAATTGCGACGTGTATATGGGGTGTAGAAAACTTTAGAAAATGTAAAATTTAAAATTGTAAGTTCAATTGAAATAATCAAAGGCGATAAAAAAATGACAAAAATTGAAAATTGTCATTTTTACGCGATTTTCTTAGATTTTATCCTTTTCTGGCAAGAGACCATTTCGAATTGATGAGAATTGTAAAAATCAGTCCTGCGGTTTTTGACTTATAAACAGAATAACAGAGATCTATTTCTGTTACATATACATTGTATATATATTGGGATATATAGCAAATGTATCCCATATCTTGGCTATCAGAATCACTGTAATGGTCAGAAGTGACCTTTTAATGTATTTGGTGTTTGATTTTTTTGACATAAAAGTTATGGTTTATTTTACCTGCTACATATTGTCCAATGACAGTCCAAAGTGGTAGGCTTCTGCTCAGCACTAAAGCCTAACTCTATACAAAATTCCGCGTCGTTTGGTGCACAATTGTGGCCCCTTAATATTTTGCGATTATCTCCAAAACCGATAAACTTTTATTCTGACTCTAACCCCACCTCCATTTTCAATGACGATCGGGCCACAAGTGCGACTTGTAGCGTGATTACAAATTAACATGGACAGATGGACGGACGGACATACATAGCTCGGTCAAATAGGAAGATCCATAAATAGTTTCCCATTTCGGGAACCAATATTCGAGGTGTTACATAATTTTTGTAATAATATTATAATGGGGTGAATTTAATAATGTATGACTCTTTAACAGCGTTACCTTAAATTCGAAGTAACTTCACCACTATGGTAAAATATTTTGTTCGTCTGTATTACCCTAATACGCCAGGTCCTTATCTTAAAATCTACCAAGTAATAACGTATTAAAATTGGTACTTTATTAAATTTCTACCTTTGTAATATTTTCCAATTACGAACATTCACATTTTTTATCTTTCATTTATATTTTCAAACACAAAAAAAAAAAGAAATTGTTCAATTGTCAATGTTGAAGTTGTTCAACTTTGAAATTTTGTACGCCCGACGTATTTGGATAACACTCATATAAATACATGTATATAAATTGTGAGTACGTCAAATTTTAGATAACGCTGTACAGGGTTTTTACCATAGTGGGGAAGTTGAAGATTTGTGTACGATACATCGAATTTTAGATAACGCTGTACTGAACAAAAGTGTAGAGTAAAAATTTGTAAGTTCTCAGTACTAAATTTTTGGGTAAATGGACAACATTCGGTAAAATGTCGTTCCAATTATTACCAAATATCGAGTACGAAGACTTGCAATTTGTAAAAACTCACAAAGATTGCAATCGATGGTGCGAAAAATCTGCGATAGTTCATTAGTTTTTGGCGATATTCTTTTATGTAAAAATATTGGGAGAAAAGAGTCGGATAAACAAAAAACAACTTTTTGCATTTGTTATTGGTAAATTTGAAGATACAACACCCTAGCTTCAGGGTTGTGTTTTTTCCACTTTAATCATTCTGCCCATTACTATTTATGGTTTGTTAATGTGCGGGGCTTACATTTCGCATATGAATCCATGTTTTTTTTTTGTTTAAGATAATAAAAAATCGAACTAGATATTTTGTTTAAGACAATTAAAAATGATCGAATCGAATGAACAAATCATTTATCTGCATGGGTTTTGTGTGACTTGTGCTTTGACATTAAAATACGTAGAATTTTTTAAGTTTTAACAATGGAATCGTTTGTCGAATATATTTAAATATAAAATATTCAAATCAAAAAATCTCAACACTTGCAGCATCGATGTTGGAATGTAAAAAGTTTAGTTTGTCAAACCGTATACTTAATCGATCGACGCGATATATAACAATATAATAGTAATATATAATAATTGTACAAATCATACGTTTTTGAATGCATATCCCGTTGTACACGTCGTATTCGACTTGAGTTCATTACAAGTTGTAAGCACATGAATGCATTTCATACCGGTGCAATTCCGATTCCAAACTTCGAGTCGCATATCGATGGTTGTTTCGCTTGTATACTGTGATAAATATACCAAACGATGTCATTTTGCAGCAACATATTTTGTCTTTATACAAAGCAATTGGCGCTCTCAGCCTTGTTGGATTTTCTATACCTTTTGTCTTTGGGCACAGAAATGTGTGGTATTTGATCACCCATATATGCACAGTGACTTGGAAAGATTACCTATGGTCTTTTGGATTTCTATTGATCCTAACCACCAACTCAAATTGAATTAACGAAATTCTCCGATTACGTGTGAAAACTCAACATAATTGGATTTTCGTCGTCTTTTTGACTATTATTCTGTAAGAAAATCATAGTTTTCATTAGAAGTGGACTCCGTGCGTAACAGACAGACAGACAGATATGCATATTCATGTAAGCAAACCATTCCTCAGAATTATGTTTATCGCTGCCGTTTCAACGAAGTAATCTTGCTATGCGGGCAAAGTGATATCCCAATAGTCTCTGCGTTATCTCGAGCCTTGTTCGGATTAGAACTTTTACACACACACACACACACTACAATTTGTAAAATCAGGGGAAGAAATAAGTCACGTAACGGATATTTGTTATTGATATGCAGCGCGCGTACACGCAACACAAACAAAGAGACGAAACGAGACGAGACAAGACAAGAAGACACTGGGAACCAACAATGATCGCACTGAAGACGTCGGGTACCTGTTGGTTAGATCGAAGTGCTTGCAGAAAGTAAACAAACATTGTTAAATGTGCATAAATTATGGAAAATCTGGAAAATACGTGCCCTGATGATAGGACGTATTGAAAATGGACACAAAGCAAAACGCAACACCAAGCACCTAACTGCCGCTCCTGCATGTATGTTTATTGGTTTTAGGATGTACTTGCATAAACGTGTTGAGCATTAGCCTGCCTATCTATCCGGAATGCAGTGTGTGCGTTGTTTGTGTTCTCTTCGAGCACATGCAGGTAATTCTTTGAGAGCCAGAAGGAAAACGTCATGGGGATGATATATTCCTCCTGGTCTCGAAGAACGTTTCTCGCTTGCGAGCGATTTGATTGGTCGCACAATCGGCAGTATGGCATTGGTGACGATCCAGTGACGTCGTGACGTCGTTATTGCCAGCACTAGTGTCTTTCATTGATTATTGTCTTCTCTTGTACGTTCGTAGCTCGGAACCCAGTGGCAGTTAGAGTTTGAATACGTCGAAGTCGTTAGTTGCGAATGAACATCTAGCCGGAAAGGTCTCGATCGGAAATACATACTTTTATTTTGGTTCGGACGCGTTGACTAAACAAAGCCAAGTTAAATGCTGTGACTTGCTACCAAAATACACCACCACACAATCTACCAACACTTGAATACAAATAGCCAGTGAACGTTACAATCGAACCAAAATTGTTTTGCGCGAACTTGAAAAATAACAATGACCCAAAGATTTGATTTGGTGTCAGGTGTGTATACACCCTGTTCGATGGAATCCATTAACGCCTCGACTCTATAACGATCCTCAGCAGACGTCGACGAATACCTATTTTTGCGTAAACGCTGTTACTAAAGTATCGATTTGGTGGGTGCCACATTCAGCAACGCTTGTCCAAGCTCATTACTAAGGCAAATCACATACTGTTTTGAATAAAATCGTCAGTTGCTATCGCAAAGCCAGCGACACAAGCCACCATTAGAGGAGGAAGCCATTCTACCTAAGCACTCATACCACTGGATACGAGCAGCAATGTCGTCATTTTACTGACAAACCCACCTGAAGTGCTAGATAAAGTTTTTAATTCGATTTCCAAGCAACGGCCCTCGGACTCGGGCCAAGAAGAATCGCGCGACAATCATGAGAAACAAAGGCAGTCGTTCATCCGTAATGAAGCCAATAGTTATATTATTTGCCGTGATAATAGTTTGTGAAGTAGATATCGGCAGTGCAAAAAGTGTCGGAACGAACAGTGCCGGATATGAGAAGAACATTCAGTTGGTGGCCAATGCGATGCAGTTCGCAGAAGTGAATCTCAACCAAACTGTAAATGTTGTTTGCCCCTTTGAACAACGTCGGTGGTATTATAACGAAACGCCCGTTGCATATGCCGATCGAAATCTGAGTTTTGAGATGCTAGCCGCAGAACAACGAGGTGTCTACGGCTGCCTCACTGCACAAAAAGAAAATATAGACCGAGTTTGGGCGAACGTAACCATAATTGTTTGTGCGATTTCCTGTAAACATGACAACACATCCAACGTCGACAGCAAAGCGAATATTAATGCCGAAAGCATTCGGCACCTCAACGGCTATCCGAAATTTGAGAATAATAAGTTTTCCAGCGACGTCACCAAGCAAAGTGGAGACTACGTTACGTTCAGTTGCGTTCCACTAGCACCGTCGTCGGTGAACTTAACGTGGTTGGTGAACAACAGTCCGATTGATGTTGACAAATCGAAAGCGGCTTTCAAAAAATGGACACTTTCGATATCGAATCTCGATATCTCGGATTCGGGGACATATACATGCCAACTCTGCAACAATATCGGATGTGTGTACCGTTCAACGCTTTTACGTGTTGTTAAGGAAGATGCTGTGCGTCCTAAAATTGTCGTCAATGGTCTGAAGAATCAGTCAGTTCATATGGATGAAAACGTTACATTCGAATGTCATGTGGAGACAGTTGTCGAGACCCAAATCACTTGGCTGAAGCATGACACACCAATAAACGAAACACTAAAACCACTGGATGTGTTAAAAGATCCGAATATGAGAAGAATGGTGACGCAATTTGACACACCACACCTTCTGCGCCTTGGAAGTGTTCAAGAAGAGGACGAAGGTTGGTACACCTGCGTTGCCACGAATTCTTTCGATGGTGCAATGGCAAGTGCCTACTTATGCATGATTACGACTACAAAAGATGAGGCCGAGAATAAGGACGGCTCCGGAGAAATGACGCCGATACTGAATTCCCTGAATTTGGAACAGGCCGATACTGATGAGTCTTCAGATCACGAACTCGAACCCGACAACAGAACACCCGCAGACGAGTCTAAGCAAAGTCCTCCAGAATTCAAAAACGTAAAGAAGCTGATCCAACGGCTTCACAAGCCAGCCGGTAGTTCTGTGCAACTGCTGTGCCCAGCTACTGGCAATCCGACCCCAAATATAACATGGACACTCAATGATACGGCCATAGAACGGCACATGGGGAAAGTCACATACAAAAAGTGGTCTATGCAAATGGATGATGCCATAACTAAGGATTCGGGCGTGTACAAGTGTAGGATCTGCAATGTGCACGGGTGCATAGAGCACTCGACAAAGATAACTATAATTGATCGGCTGCGCTCCTCGCCGATAATAAGCGACAAATTTCCGCAAAATCAAACTGCGCTCGTCTATAGCAGCACAACGCTGGAATGCAGAGTCGTATCCGACCTGGAGCCATTCATTTACTGGCTGAAGTATGTCAAGAAAAACGAGTCTATTGAGTATCTGGAGAAGATAGCGCAAAATTTCGACGTCCACCAGAGCACGAACAAAACAAACGACATAATAGTACTGAATCTGGGGCAGGACAAGTCGAACATTCTAAATTTTTCTAGAGTTACACACGACGACGAGGGTTGGTATTCCTGTGTAGCAGCCACCTCGTTGGGGCTGACTGTGGCGAGTGCGTACCTTAAAGTCGTTGATAAACTCCCACTGAGGGACGGGTTGCAGCGCAGTCATCCCGCATGGATTACAACAGTGGGGGCGGTTGTCGTCTTGCTTTTCCTGCTCGGAACGGTTTTCATCATCTACGTGCTGCGCAACTTGAAGCAGGAAAAACTTCTGAAGCAACGAATCGAAACCGTTCACCAGTGGACGAAGAAGGTGATCATTTACAAGCCACCGCCATCGGATGGGAGCACATGCGACCTACAAATGCCCGTTATAAAAATTGAGAAACAGCGCACAACCTTTACAACTTCCACGAATTCCGATCCCAACCAAGGCTTCAACGAATATGAGTTTCCCCTGGATTCAAATTGGGAAATACCGCGCAGTCAGTTGTCCCTGGGATCAACACTTGGGGAGGGTGCGTTTGGTCGGGTCGTTATGGCGCAAGCCAGTGGACTCACCCGGGCTCCTGCCAATAATAACGTCAGCACAATTGTGGCCGTGAAAATGGTAAAAGAGGAACACACTGATGCCGACATGGCAAGTTTGGTGCGCGAAATGGAAGTCATGAAGATGATCGGGAAGCACATCAACATTATAAACCTGCTGGGTTGCTGCAGTCAAAATGGGCCTCTGTGGGTCATAGTGGAATTCGCACCTCATGGCAATCTTAAAGACTTCCTCAAGAAGAACCGGCCGAACACGGTATGGGGCAGTTGCAGTTTAAAAGAAAGAGATAGTGATTACTTGGAGGAAACGCCGGTGCTAACGGAAAAGCAGCTGACGTCGTTCGCATTCCAAATAGCACGTGGCATGGAATATCTAGCCTCAAGACGAGTAAGTAAGCATCATCAATGCAACGCGCCTCCCTCTAACGTAATGTTGTTCTATTTCTAGTGTATTCACCGCGATTTGGCGGCGCGAAATGTTTTGGTCAGCGATGACTACGTCATGAAAATAGCCGACTTTGGTCTTGCTCGGGATATTCAAGATACAGACTACTACCGGAAAAACACCAATGGTAGGCTGCCCATAAAGTGGATGGCTCCTGAATCACTTCAGGAAAAGTTTTACGACTCCCAATCTGACGTCTGGTCTTACGGCGTACTCTTGTGGGAAATTCTAACGTATGGCGAACAACCATACCCAAACATCATGTCAGCGGAGGAGTTATATAGCTATTTGATAACCGGCCAACGCATGGAGAAGCCGCCACGCTGCTCCCTCAATATTTACATGTTGATGAGACAGTGTTGGCATTTCGACTCGAATGCCAGACCCACATTCTCGGAAATTGTCGAGAATCTGGACAAAATCCTTCAACTGTCGAGCACAATGCCGCATGAGGAATATTTGGATCTATCGATGCCCATGCTCGAGACCCCCCCTTCTTCTAGCGATGAAGAGTCCGAGAGTGAGACATTCCTGGAATCGCCGTCTGCCCGATATCAATACACATATAAATTCAAATGAACCAATCGTGACGCACTTTTCTTAATGACGCTAACATAAAACAGTGAAAAGACCTACGCCTCCATGTGTATCGAAAATATGGAACTTCTTCATGTCAAGAACGACAATAGGGCGGTCGATTATTCAGATTGCATCAGGGCCGTATGTCCGACAGAGGCAACACACATAGTTGGCGGATGTTGATGTTACCAAAAATGACGCTTTAATGTCCACAATTCAACGCATTGTATATTAGAATACTCACTACATTATATAGCATTACCGATAAGACTTTCTAGACACGACAAGGCTATTTTTCTACTTTACGATTCTATTAATAAGATATATTGATTGTTAATTTATTTTAAGGTGCCATGAAAACAAATCTCGATCAAGCAAGTAGTACACGTCTTGCTGGCAATAACTTTTCTGGGATGTACTCGTATGTGTCATTACGCAGACATTCACACATTTACTGAACTACTTGCAAATAAATTATTTTAATATTAAGGTACAAAGTGTAAAAGGAATAAAACGGAAGCTTTAAACGAATTATACGCGAGACATCTAAAATAATCACTTCGATTGTAAATATCGAATATTCAAATGTATATTGTAGACGACGGAAATGGGTCCAGCCTCTTTCATTTCGCCACTGAGAGTGCAACGCTATTTTAACGTAGATTAATAACTTTGAATAAATAAACTTTTAAAATGAATTATAGACATAAATCAGTGCTTATTGAAAGCGTAATATATAACCTCGGCCAAAGGGTGTCAACGACTTGAACGAATTGTAAACATTACAGCGCTACCTAGAATTCGACATAGTGCACACAAATATTTAACTTCCCCACAATGATAACATTTTTTGTACGCCCATATTGCCCAAATACGCCAGGTCCATATCTTAGAATCTACCAAATAAAAGAGGTTGGAAAAATTGATGCCTTTTCTAATTCACCCAGTTGTAATATTTTCCAATTACAAACATTCTTTTCCATGTTCAAAACACAAGGAAACATTGTTCAATTGTCAATGTTGAAAATCCCCGCTGCGAGCAAAGAACCAAGTGTGTCTTATGTTACCACTTTATTTCTCCAGACATTTGTACTAGTTCAGATGTCAACAATTTGCGAGTAGAGTTTGGTTAGGGACACTGATTCTAGTGTATTTCTAATGACAGTGTCAACAGTTTGTTTTGTCATTGTCAGTAAAATCTATTTAAAATATAATAAAAATGTGTATATAAGATTTTTATGTCACTTGCGATCTACAGATCGCATCAAAACAAATCGTTTTTTTGGAAATTAATTCGTTTTGTGTGTGTTTTTTTTTTGTTAAAAAGTTGATTATTCTTTAAATATATAAACAAAATGAATAGAAGGAATTATAAAAGACTTAAAAAATATATTGTATAAAAACAGAAGTTTGCAGTGCAGACGGTGGAGGTTTTGTGAATGATTTCGTGGAAAATTAACATTGCGGAAGAAGGTCTAGACGTCCCGCTCAGAAATATGTTAACGAGAAATGTCGACCCGTGGAATTTATTTCCATAGAACAGAACTACGAAAAGTTGGACTGGATTTTGGAAAAGTATGAGGTAATCGAACTAGATATAAATATCGATGGAATTCCACTGTTCAAAAACTCTCGGGTGCAATTGTGGCTAATTCTTTGCAGAATCGTCAACATTCTGGAGAAAACAAAACCGTTTGTTGTTGGATTAAATTTAATTAAATATAGTTTGCAGATTGAACTGTGCCTTATTTTATTTTTGTTAAATAATACATGTATTAAAAATGTAACGTTTTAAAATACTTACTCTATTACAAGCATTTTCCTAAAAAATTCAAATGACTATTGGGTTCAAATGTTTCCATATCATCTCAAAAGACCTCATCGTCTTCTAGTGTTTATATGGTTCAAATGTCTACATATAGCTCAAGAACTACTTAGTCAATATAGTCATGGACTACTGGTACTTCTCCTATGACAAGCCTATGTTAAATGTCCATAGGAAATTGGTGTGGGTATACATTTGCACTAGTACTGGTGACATTTGGTGTGGGTATACATTTGCACTAGTACTGGTGACATTGTCACACTACAATTTTACTAAAGATGCTCGCTGCAGGATGTTCAACTTGGAAATTTTGTACGCCCGACGTATTTGGTTAACATTCATATAATTACTTGTGTTTACGAATTTCAGGTAACGCTGTAAATATTAATTTTATATCACTTTGTTCACAAACAAAAATATTTTAACCTTTATTCCATTTTGAATAAGAAATCAGCATTTTCCATACTTTACTCGAGTTTTTGAATTTTCATCAACCTGATAACTAGAGAGTAAAGACAGAAGTGGGGCATGTTCGAGCTTCGCGTACCAAATGTATGCTTGTATTGTATTGTATGTTCTGCAAAGTAAATCATACTCACTGTGATCGTTACTGAATGTGTATTAAAGCTTAGTCGTACATATATATATATATGAGCTATATCTTTATCCAAATCGATTTCCACAAAATTTGTATGATTTAAAAATGCAACATTAATGCCAAAACGAAGCTAGGTTGGTGCATAATTGGTATGAAATTGAAGGGAATTTTCTAGGAACCATTGGTTAAGGAGAAATACCTATTGGTTTTTTATTGGAGAAATACCTTTGGAAGGGGTATGCGGTATCTTGTACTAAATATCGTAGTGAGTTGAAACCGGGTTAAATTGTGCATGACAATTATATCCAAATTTGAACCGACTATTACTAATTATAATAGGGTTCGTGCCCATGCCAAACAAATGAACAATGCAACACCTTATCTCACTTGGAAAATAAATGCGATCTGTACTTTGATTACAAAAATATGGGCTACTTTGATTACAACAGGCGGACAGACAGACGTGCATAGATCGATACAGAAAGTGGTTCAATGAAGATTTCCAAAGTAACAATGGGTCTATTTCGTCTCCATCATTGTGTTACAAACAAATGCACTGTATCACGATGAGATGTGGAGTGTCAACAATGAGAAAAGGACAATAGTCCTATGTGGTACACCACAGAATGTCGAGCAGAGGTGTTTCACGCAACAAATTTGTGCTTGCATAGTGTACGAGTACATATAGTGCATTTTTGAGGAATTCAATTGCTTATAAAAGTCACAGAGTTATTTCTAGGCTTTGCATGTTGCTCTTGCACCGAAAATTACTGAAGCTTAGTTTAAAAAATTTTTATCGAAAGCGGTACAACATTTACGATTTCATATGACACGACTGAACGTTTTGTTGAGTTCCTCTTCTGGTTTGCAAAGTTTTCAGCATCAACTAATCTGTCTAAATCGTTTCATATTGGCGAGTATTAGGAAATCGTATTATTGAATTGCAAATGTCAATACAAATTGCAACGACTGCACCATTGTGAACGAAATAGATGGGGGTGGATTCCAATGACGGTATTGACACTAATGGTTGACTACATCGATGAGCGCATTAGTTTAGTGCTATTCATACCTGCCTGATAGACTTCTAGAGACTTTTTCTCTTATATCGTTGGATCTACTTCTCTAGATCATGCATGTCCCTCCTGACACCCCTGAAAGGGGTTTGGGTAGCTCCAGTGGTAATATCCAAGGAGGTACTGAACTCTCATCTGCTGACTTACGGCATTCTCATTTCCGCAGTATATGTGTTGAAGATTGTGGCTGGAGAATGCGGCAAGCTCCGCGATATAAATGTTCCACCTGAAATTGCGTGTAATGCTGAAGGAAACCAAGTCAATAACATCCTCATTTACCAGAATGTGGAGCAATTAATCCGCTCTGTCAACGCTGATTCCCTCCGGTCGTTAGCTACGACGCAATGTCACAATTTAAAAATACCCTAGTACCAGACAGTTATCTCCTTCCATAAGCGGGCTAAAGTCGGGCAAATAAAGTGTTTCATAACTATTAACCAGCGGAATCTACCGATTGAGCACCTCTACCTCGGCAGTATCACACAACATACATTACATGGACAAAACTTTAATGATCTTAATTGAGTGGCCGCCCCTGCATGTACTCGGCTCGAAGAAATCCCAACGGATTTTTTCAAGCATTATGTACATGAGACGAACGAAATAAGTTTAGTTCCGCATTTTTCGAAATCTGGTTCTGTCGATATATCTGAAAAATATTCCGTTCACAATCAGTTGCTGGTTGAACCGAACTTCAGCGATATTGAGACATTTTTCTTCTTCCGAATTGAAATATCCCCGCAAATACTCCAAATGGGAGGGCGTGTGGCTCGTGACGTGTGGACAGGTTCGAGGTACAATCACATTATGATGGGATTTAAATGTCAGTTCTAAATATTGCCGTTCAATTGCAGTGGCTGTACTAGGTTAAGCTTTTATACAAATATATGTACTTGTCAGTATGTAACGTTAAATCTTTTTTAATATAGAAAATCCCCGACAGAATTTTGATAAAACAGACCCATCTGCTTGAGGCCTTCAATTCAACTAGACCTTCACTCAGCAAGTCTGACGTCGAGCGGTATCAGAAAACGTAAGTTCGAGATTCACCATGTGAACGAAGTTGTCATATAAATTTTCTTTGCTCTATTTTCAGCTATGCCAGGTTTACTAACAAGGAAAAGTCTTCCCGAGATTTTGTCTCAAAACGCGCCACTCTGGCCTGAATAATCTACAAGACAAAGATCAACACATAATCTATGAAAAGAAGAAAAGAGGATATTTTGTTACATTTTCAATAAAGTTCAATAAGTACCTGGTGACTGGTTTATTTAGTTTTTCCCTTTAAATTTTATCTTTTCATTTCACTGTCGAACTTTTGGAATTTTTTGTTTTCCTCGACGTTAATTTAGTTATGTTTTGACTAGAAAACTGTATAGGAATGCCTTGTTAAGTGTGCTTTGCCTTTTCGACGTCATATCTCCAATTTGAGGAATGTTGATGTGGAACACAATGAGATTGGCCAACACATGGGGTAAGTGCACGATTCAGATTTGGAGATCATGGAAACCAACATGAATTGCATCTTTTGCACGACACTCATCTTTGCTCAACACTTTCCATCCAATACTTAGCCAAGTTGAAGACATTATCCCCATTGAAATTCCATTAGTTTCGCATTTGCTGTCACTCTCTGGGTCGTCTTTTTCATACCCATCGATTGTCTGCCATTTCCGAACATCATTCCAATATTAATCTGCACTGTTCGCTGCATGTAATCATCTTTTCACATCATGCATCTCAATATACATATATTACTTAATTGGGCGTAAAGAATTTTAAATGGAAAAATAATCATTCTCGTTTCTGGTTAAGCATTTGCAGAGGTGGTTGTGGGAATCAGAATCATTTTTCCACCGAGGACAGCATGGCTTGCTGCCCGGCTTTACGAGAAAGCAAACACGGGCGTAGAGAGACAGACGTTTTCGCTTTGGGCTGCAGGAGCATAAGTACAAGGTGGAAATTTCAATTAACTCACATTCCCCATTATTCTGTGGGCTTAGGGCTGTCCGTCCTGCTGCCATACGTTGCTGTGACACTGTTACATAGCTGCGGAGCTTACACAAAGGTGAACTTTGTATTATGCTCCATTGCAGATAATGAGTTGTTGTTTTTGTTTCGAATTTAAGGATGAAGCTCGGTGATTGGGGGGAAAGGGAACATGGGCCCAACTTAGCCTGAGTTGGTATTTGTTTTTGTCGAATGCGCCAAGTCGAGCAGTTTATGTTCGAGGCCTCTACTCCAAATTTTTCCTTTCTTATATTTGTACTTCTTTTTTCTATTATTTAATTTTTGAATTTTTATAGCAGACGAAACTAGCAAAGGGCACTTACTCAACTTCAATTTCATGAAAAAGAAAAAGTAGAAGACATAATTACCGAAAGTACAACTCGTTCAAGTGGCTGGTTGGCTGATGGAAATTGTTTTGCATCCCTATTTTGAATACGCACAAATGCTAATTATTCTTCGAAAAGCTTATCCAAAAGTTTATGATGTAAAGGCTGCAGATTGTTGCAAATGTTGTTGAGGGAAATTCAATCAACGCCCTTGCGGTGCACAGTGCTGCGCGACCATATAAAGGGGGTCGGTATCGAAGAAATTGAGATCGAATTGAAATTTTATATGCGCATCAAATCTGCTGAAGAATCAAGTTTTAATAACAAAAGCTGGGGTCTTACTCTAACCGTCACTATATCGCTGCAATTTAAACAAGCTGCGAGAACTTTGTCCAAGGTGTCTGCACAACATTGATTCGACTAGACTTAAATTCAAACAACAAATTGTAGTTACATTGGGCGATTGTTCAGTGCATAAACTCATACATGAAGGATGCGTTTTAGAGGTCGGATTGTTTTACTAGAATAATAAATATTTGTAATTTGTAATGCTGTATACCTTTAGATAAAAGAAACATAACTCTAATTACATTTTGGTCAATTGGTGTAATTCTTAAATCGGGTGAAACATTGCTTTTGTGTCCGTAGTCGTCACCACTTGACTTGTTCGTTGGCATGACATGTTCCCATTGACCTGCATATAAATGAAATAACTAAACAAATAAGTACTTCGCTTTTTAATGCTTTCAAGTCCATGCCGACCTAAGGACCGCTGTTATCCCCTAGTCAGCAGGTCAGCCGTACTCGCGTTAAAGGTGGATAAACACTCAAGATTCATTTTATTTGTGAATAAAAATCATATTTTTAAACTATTTGTTGGTTGTTTATAATGTCCAGAATGCATGTTTTCGGTCCACATGTCGACTTTGAGAAAATAAATTTTTGCAGGAGACGGCATCAACAAAAACAAAAAAAAAACTGAATAATGATAAATGTTTTGAAATAATATTCCTTTGACAGTTCTTTAATATTTTGAAAATACCCTGTTGAAAATTTGTAAAGTTAAACATTGGTACGACTCCTTTAAATTTACGCCTCCATTGTTGCTTTCTTAAGTACGAGTACATGCATTGCCTAGCTGGCGATGAAGGACCCCCACTGACAAAGTGTAATTTGTGTAATCGAATATTCAACGAAATTGTTCCCTAAAATAGGTGGTAACATCTTCGAAATTAAAATTAGTTATAAAAAATCTAATTTATTGGAGTATTAAGACATGCCTGGCTTTTACAAAGGGCAGGACAACTGATATTTGTCTTTTTGAAGTAGACGTGTCGACAACTGCAAAGTCAACAAGGAAAAACTTATATCTTGTTTATTTTCTGCTTCCTTATTGCTGTTTATACCCTACACCACACCATGATGCAGAGCATAATGTCTTTGTGCATTTGTTTGTAACGTGTAAACGGAAACGAGATAGATCCATAGTTCCGTTTGATGATTTTCATTGAATCACATTTGCACAGTTCGTTTGCATGGCCCAAGGATCAGCCCTATTGAAATTGATAATAATCGGTCCAAAGTTAGATGTAGTTCTTCATACATATATCTTCATCCGATTTCACCTTCATTGTGCACCAAATGGGTAATTTATGCTAACGTCAGATATTGAAAATCGGTTCAGATGTAGCGTTAGTCCTAACATAACAATGGTATTTGGTACAAGATATCGGATATAGCTTAAAATTATCTTTTCCAAATTTTTTGGAGATCGGAATTTAGCTTATTTGGTGAAAATCGATGCAGACAACATGCACTCTGTAGCAGTGATATTTGGTACGAGGGGTCACAACAGCATGCAAATTGTTCCAGATATTACTTCCATGTAATTCCGAATTCAAGCCACTCTTAAGACGTAAATAACCATAATTGTTGGTCTGATCAATACAAAGGTTTATTTGATACGGGTACTTCATAGCGGTGTGGGGTGGTAGTAAAATGTGTATGTGGTAGTAAAACACAACTCTGACTCAAGGTGGACACAGGTCGCTGCTGACGCATTTTTCTAGTATTTGTGCCCATTTTATCAGATATCATTACCTTTTTTTTAGGTGACCTATATTCAGTCATGCTCCCAAAACGTCATTGACATTGCATATGGTTGCGGGTTCTACTAGCTACATTTTCTAATTCCAACGTGGATCCCCAACTTTTGATAATTATGTTCTGTTGAGTTCTGCGAAATCCATTTAATTACCCAAATATAGTTCAAAACATAGATGCCTCCTTTGCAACGCCTTCCCTCTCTCTATTTATTGTCGGTTGGTCAAAAACCCATGCATAGAATCAATAGAATAACAATGCTTATTGATTGCTCGTCGGAGGAACAAACGGGTCTTTGGGATAAACATATTTTATAAATGCCATTGCTCTCGTCCTCAATCACAGCACAGCACAGCACAGCACAGCACACTGTGATCTCAGACAAAACTGACTTCGCGACATGGTGTCTGCTGGTGGCAATGTAGTGCGGCTTGCAAGGAAAACGGAAATATAATCGCTACTTTTACAAGTTCTGCTATTTCCGTTTGCTATCTCGGGCGAGAGCATAGATACCGAAGTTGTTGAAAGTTTTAGAAAACACAGGAACTTTATCCGTTTGTATCGTCACCGACCCGACAACTAAATTAACTGCTGTTTACGAAACTTGTGGTTTGGTGAACAGCAATGGGGGAGGCAAAGGCCTCGAATAAAAATTGGCTTGCATAATTCGCGGTGCACGGATTGCAAAGCTGTTTAAATCTCGTCTTAATTAAGCCCCATCCAATCCAGCAACTTGATGAATTGTGAAGTGGAATTGCACCAATTTTGGATGCGAGTTTCCACAGCTTCAGACCCAGCTTGAGCTGGCCGAAGTTTGTTCCAATGTGTCGTCAAACCGCCACAAGCGAGGGGGCGTTCATTACGTTATCCTCAAAGTGTGTGACTTTGGCTGTCAGGAATTGCATGGTCCTCTGATATTCGTAAAGACATCAGCATCGAGTGGTCGAAATTCACCAATTGATTTACTCGCTTATGAATCTTTTAATAATTCCATGGAAATGGCATTAGGCATTCGGCTGTGGACAAGTTCAATCACAGCACGACTGGGGGCATACTGCGAACGTGCAGTGGATGATAACAACAACAACAACACTGGCAGGAACGTGTATATAACCGACAAAGGGCGTTAACTGAATGACAAACGTGCTGCCTGTCAACGCATCGATTGTGCCTCTGCCCGTGTTCCTCGTGGCGTTTGAACCCCCACATTCTTGTCAAACGCTTCAATAAAAACACAAAGGAAAACAATCGAAAAAGCTAAAACAAATTGTTACCACTTTCAATGGCATTGTCAACGCCACGGAAGAATGTGGGTGTGAGCCATTCGCACTGGCAGCTTCTTTTCGAGGGGATTTGGCTCTCTTTGATTCATTTGTTTATTTTTATATCCTTTTTCTGGGAATTTGTTTTGCAAAACACGGCTCCTGCTTCATCAAGTATTCTAAAATCCCATTGTGTGCGAAATAAGATTTTAAGCATATTATGATTGAATGCACGTAGTGAATGTGTTTCCTTCGGGCATATCCTTTGTCTGGCGAATCCACTATTGGAAACTGTATTGTGTTGTCTTCGGAATTCATTAAAAAGAAAACGGCTTGCAAAAAAAAAAAAAAAAATGCAAATCTAGCTTAGGAGCAGGGCATAGTGGTCTTTAAGGAAACCTCAACTTTTGCCGAAGCTCACTAAGCGGCATTAAAATAATGTAAAAGCTTTCTTCTATTATGCCTCGGTGTCAGAATTTAGTTAGACATTTTCGCATTGCATGTTGTATAAAAAGCTAGTAACTTCTTAACACTTTTACTCATTGCTTATTTTACAAAAACTGCAGTTATTCCTTTTGTTGTTGCGGA